CCAGCTTGTGCACTACAATTTACTGTACAGTGGTACGGTGGTGTTTGTACATGTCTCCACCACAGAAAACAAAAATATAATTGATGAAAATGTGCACTGTATTCAAGGATAAAGCAGTAAGTGACAAAGAACTTTTCCTCTTCTTGCTCCTAACTATGTAATTATCTTTTTGAAGCAATAGCTCAAAAATGGTTAATTTGTATAGTGGTAATCTGTTTCTTAGAACAAAAGCCCTTTTCAAATTAAAATAATTTAGAACTCCTTCCAACATTTTGTATTTTGAAAGGAATGTTCCTCTTTTCTATAGGAATACCCTGGCATGCCTGTGTTTTTTTTCCCTAAATTGTGAAATTTGCTTTTATTGCCATGTTTCTTGCAACTAAAATGTTTTTTTTTCAACCCGAAAAGTTTTTCCGATACCCATGGCTAGTTATTTAAAATTATTGCAGAGGGATATATTTTTTTTAAGCCTGTAATTATATTTCTCTTAGGTGGAAAATTGTTCCTTAAAATGAAATGTAGGTAGCATAAAATGAATTATACAATTGTATATAATTTAGTTTTTTTCTTGTGCATAATTAAATAAATGAAAATTACGAAGAAAAGCTTGCAGGTGTCTTACTTCATGTAGTGATCCTTAGGTTGGAAACTGCAGAGGGGGACTGATACCTGTATACAGTAGGCAGGAAAGGTAAAGAATGGGGGGTGGCATAGGAAATGGATTGTTTTGTATTCATTTGAATACATTCAAATCCATAAAACATGGTTCCCATTAAAAGAGAGGGCAGGAATAGTTTCCAAGCTGAAGCAATTGCAGCTCAGCCATTTACTGATCTTGCTCTCTTGCACAAAGATTTATTGTGGAGATATACCAATACAGTACGTGGGTGAAGAGCAGTGGTTAGATGTTGTGAGATTCAGATTTATGTTTTCTTAAAGCCAAACATGAATGCAGTCCTTGAGAAATGATTCCATTGTTTTGGCCTTGAAATATTCCGGAACATGTTTTCTGATGTTTTTGCGCCTGCCACTGACTCTATCCACATCATTTATTACAAACACTCATTGCTCTGTAGAAGATGATATGGCCTTATTATAAACATTAAGCTGAATAATGAAAGTGGTGGCATACGTACAAGGACACCTTGAAGCAAACAATGTTTTGACAATGGTACAAAAAGTCTTAGAAAACGTATCAGGTATTTGCTAGAGGCTAGTGCCACTCAGGTGGGGGGTGACCTTTTTCAAAAGCACCTCTAAAGTGTTTGTTGAAAACATTATGCGTACAGCGCTTTTAATTATGAAATGTACTGTACCAGTATTTACACCTCTTCAGTCTGGTACTGCCATCAACAGGCAACATTACAGAGGAACGATAAAGTTGTAATGCTTGAACAGATTGAACAATTTGTGAGATTTCTCCATGGTAAAATGTTCTAAGCAAATAACAGGTTAACTGTATCTTAAACTCAGATTCTGAAATCTAGGTTTGGAAATTTGGAAATTCTGAGTTGCGACTTGTGAAACTAAGAAAAAGATTGTGTTAATATTTTTAGGTTTGTAAATAATATAGAAAGTGAAGATTCTGTGTGAAAAAAGGTGGTTTTAGGTACGGCTTCGAACAGCAATGCAGTCTTGACACAATAGGTCATAGTAACAGATTCTGTGTCATGGCACAGATCCAGCAAAAGCAGTGCTCAACAGAACAGCAACCATAAATCACAAGCTACTGTCTGAATCCAGGTGTACACAGGTGCTGTACGGTGCAAGTGTTAAAATTTATGTTTGTAAATACGACTCTGTTAAAAATAACCCAGCTTCAGGCATCCTAAGACATGAACACTAAATTCCTTTGTAGTGAAATTGCAATATTTACAGAAAACACCCCAAATAATTTAATTAATGTTTCAGTGTTCCATCCATGGACTTTTATTTTTATGTTTTTGGCAGCCTGTCTGTGGTAAGTATGTGGTAGTTAATGTCATCACTGTGCACAGCTAGTCAGAGGCCTAGCAGATAGTACTCGGTTATTGCAATGATACTAAAATAATTTGTGACTCGTTTACAGGATGTTAGTGTTTAAGCTGCCTAGAAATTTTAAGCATTCCAGTCATAGATCAATCCATTTGGATAATGCTTTGACAAGTTAAACAAATAACATCAATCTAGTGGAACAAGACTCATTTAGTGCTTGAAACTGTTAGGTTGCTACTGTCTATTGGGAAAACACTATAACATTGGAATCTCCTATGACATGAGGCCTGCCTTTTTGGATAGCAGAATTCGCTGCTGTTTCGAGGAAGGTGGGGAGGAGTTTGAGTAACAGTGATGGAAGCCCAGCAGGGCCAATCTTTGTATGCCACAATGGGGCTGGTTCAAAGAGAGGTGCCTATCACTCATGGGGGTTGCTTTAGAATTTGGAGGCCAAATTTAGAAATGAGCAAAACAAGCTTAATTCATTACTTCAGGTGTTAGGCTCAATTCCTGGAGGACCTAGTGTCTTATAGTTTCTGCAAAATTGAACAATTAGGTGAATTATTTTCTTAGTCATATCATGGCTATTTAACATTTTACAGATGAGTACTTAAAACATTGACATTGTTAAAGGTACAGTTACTGATAAAAAAATCTCTTAGGTTTAGATGTATTACAATTATGCAGTTAATATGACTGGGGGCTCAGGTGGAATAAAAACCAGAAAACACTACACCCTGAAGGATACAGGTTTGACAAAAAGCCATTGAACTCTCTTGCAATTAGAAGCCAGCATTTTGGCCCAAGAAAATACATTGCTGTTTGAGGAAGCACTGTGTGTTTGGGCTGAGAAGTGCACAAATGACAGTGATCCCTAATCCCAACAGATGATGAGCTGTGCATGCCACACTAATCTGTGAGCACAAAGCACCCCCTAGCCAGCCAATCCTTTAGACTGTACAGTTCTTTTTTTTTCCAGAACAAAACCAAAGAAGTAGAATTGTCTTAAAAGTACCATTGTCTAATCTGTGAATTTAAAGTAAAATCTAAAAATTAAACCAATGAAATAGTGTAACATTTAAATACAGTACGGCGTACTGTTATGCTTCTTCCTTGAACAGTTGAAAAAATGCTTTTCTCAAGAACAAGCCTACAAAATTGTGAAGTGTTATGTAGAAAGAACTTTGCTGATCGAAAAAGGCACTTGCACTCTGCATATATTAGACCTGTGAAAGTGTTAAGTAGCAGGCAATTTAATTCACATAATTTCTCTAAACCACAGCAGAAGGAAATGTTAAACCCTCAGTTACACAATGCTAGTTTTACTTTAACCAAAGCTATTTGGGCAGCTGGGTCTTTTTTTATGCAAGTGTCTGTTGATGCAAAGTAGCAGAATGTTTTGTAGTGATTATTTCGGGAGCTAAAGTCTTTTCCATCAATTGAAATGAAATTCCTCTTGACATTCCCCTTTACAATCGGAAAGCCTTTGCCTTCTTAGACAAAATAAATAGCATCTGAAAGTTATCTGGTTTTGCATAGTTAACATTTTGCTAATGGGTAGCCAAGATTCTCTCAGCAGCTCTGCTACATTTTCTAAAGCCCACTGGCGTTGTTGTAGCAACTGGTGGCTGATCTGTGAATAAAGCAGATGTCACCGTGTCAGGATGAAAAAAGAGCAATCTATCACCAGCTGACTACCACTCCTTCAGCCCAAGCAAGTCATCAACATGACAGTCTCGGCACAGCACTCATCAATTAAAGTTATAATGTTTTTTTTTTAATGCAATTATCAAAATCTATAAATGTGGAAATGTGGAACATTTTGTACTTAGCTTTTCTGTTTTCCAACCATGAAACCCAACATTAACAGTTTCCCTATTATACAACCTTGTGGCGTTTTGTTCTTTCCGGTGATAAACGTTTAGAATTCCCTTTTTGTACATTTTATTTGTGTGGTATTAACTGTATACCTATAAGTGGTCTATATTAATTGTTTTCCATTTTAGAGGAATTTGGAACCTATTTAAGAACATACAGGAGGTCTCCCTTCCTGCAGCAAATATTTAGAAATGAAAAGTGTGTCTTTATAAGTATCATCACCGACTCAATCTCGATTTATCCAAGTCTGTAACATAAAAGTTTGAAAAAGACCATTTGGTAAAACAAACACCAAGTGGTAGAAATTACAAAAAAAATCCAAACTTCCTTCTGTTTCCTAAAATGTATTTAAGTTAATATCACTGGAAGTCCTGCTGTTGTGTTAATTTAGTGTGCAGAAAGCTGTTGAATCCGTTTAAAAAATCCTTTTAAATTTATGTTTACATTCTTATGATTTCCTCTGAAAATACGTAATTATTTAATTTTTAACTGCTGATTGGACCATCTTCAGCACATGAATAATTAGATAAAGCTAACCACTGTTTTTTAATATAAAACTGAAAGCCATGACAGATTCAAGAGAAAATTCACTGATCTTTAATCTTTGATCTGATTTGTGTACTTATGATTCCCTCTGAAAGTAGACAAATTTTAACTACTGGGGCGACAAACGTCAACATTTTCATCACATGGATAATTACATCATGCTAAATCCCATTTTTTAAATAAAGCCCCAAACACGAACAAATTACAAAGTAATATTGTTTTTGAACTCTGGAGCTGATTGGTTTTAAGCTGAAGATCAATGACACTCAGACTTCGAGAAGGCAAGAGTGTGACAAAATTGCACTCAGCGGTAAATGGTCAGTTGAATTCATGGCTTCTCTGATGTGGATTATAAATAAGGTGTCCCCCTTTTAATATGCAAAAGAAACATTATCTACTTCCAAATATTCTTTATAAAATAAAAGACAGATCAGTGCTCATTGTTGTTTGGTCAGCCTCAATCATTCTCATATCTCATTTGGGAGAATTGGACAATAGATGTCATGTTAGTTTTCACAGTCAGAGCCTACCCTATGACAATGACAAAATTAAATTTGACAGCACCACAATGTGAAGATTTACCTCACAGCACACACAGCACATTTGCCAGTCATAACAGCACAGTTTAATGAGTGGTGAGACCAGGTAGCTGTTCCAGATTTTTTTTCTTTCTTTCTCTGAATGGGATAAATGAATAACCAGTTAATACCAATCAGGAATTGAAGCCATATAACCAAACTGTTACATACCCTGTTTTTGTCTGAAATGCAGTAAGCAAGCCAGTTTGCAGGCACATTCAGAAGCAGCTAACGTGAGGAACATTTGTTGTGCATTCTGACAAAATCTGTTACATTTAACTGAAGAGTCCCTTTTTCTGATATAATAAAGGAATCAGCTATATTATTTTGTTAAAAAAAACACAGCTGACAATTATAGCTTTTATGTCCATTTGCAGGGGGAAAAGTAAAGGGATATGGAGTTATACAAGCAGAAATAGTATAAATAAAATATTCATATAAAAATAGTCTCTTACAAAATATATTCTCTTGACCATGGTTAATTTTTTCCACATGAAGGAAATTTGTCTGGAGTATCAACTTTGTTTATAGTTTTACTTGAAAAACTAGACAATGGGTAACTTCTATCAATTACCAAAGTCAGTATAGTGGCTTATAAAACAGAAATAAGAGGCAGTTTGATTTTCCAGACAACTAGCAGCAAACAGCAGGGAAACAAAAATATCACAAAAAAAAATCTATTTTCAGCTTGGCTTTGCAGGAAACAATACAATATGCTTCTCCGCAAAGTATATCAGTGGTATCATAAGAAGTCCTGTTATTTACAGCTCCAGTGTTTCTTGCTTGTGTTTTTTTCTGCATCTACAAACAAAAATAGCAAATCCTCCACAAGGAAATCCTATTATTTACTTTCCATGTAGAACAGTCCCATACAAAATCAGTAGTTTATTAAATAAATTAATATTAGTTTTTTTTAATCTAAATAAACTGTTAAATATTGCAATTACTGTTTCATTTTATATTATGGCAAAATGTCCCCAAAGTCCTCAGCACAATTCCTCCAAATCTAGGTAATGAATAGTGGTACACAGGTTTCAGAACAATGATCCGGTGTGTGGGAGAAGAGAACTTATAGCAGGCAATCCAGTGGTGATCCAAACCGCTGAACAGAATAGAAGACTTTCACGATTGCAGAAACCTCCATCTGCATAATCCACACTGAAAGCATGCAAAGGACAATGCTGACCCTGTCTGTCTGTTCCCTTCAAAGGTTTGTCTCCCACTAGGCAAACCTCTACCAACAGGTCTTTTTAAATTCTAGCAGGAGAACATTGCCCTTCTCCTGGTTGATGTTAGAAGCCCTTGTTGTTCTGAATAAGGGGGAGAATATATTCTGTCTTCAGGGTCACGGCTCTTTTTCCTTTTGTGTTTCTCAGTGTCATTTTTCTTTATACAGCCCTGCACAGACCGGGCAGTACTGCAGGCATTCCCAGTTGCTTTTCCATCCGGATCGAAAGGAACACTTAGCCGCTGGTAGGAATCATGTGCAAATGAAGTGTAATTTCTTTTTTTTTTCCCGAGAAAAATAATTCTCGTGTGCACACATATAGCGATGTGTGTGTGTGTCATATAAATAGTTCATTTACAGGTGTACACCTCTGTTCTTTCACTGCAAGTGTTGCATTTGACATAGCAGCACCACAGGAACTTACAGTTGCACTGCCACACTCTTGAGTACTGGTGTGTGTTATAGCCTCGTCCACAGCACATCAGATCGCAGGCATTGGCCTGCAGTGCTGTTTTGTTACATATTCGGCCTTGAGTTCCCACACTGCCTGTCACAGGGTCCTCCTCACAGTAGTTTGGTGATTTATCAATGTAAACCAAGTCTGTATCCATGGGCTTGCGGTAGGAGAGTGGCTTTTTTATTTTCAGGAAAGTGGGCCGCTTGTTCCTGCTGGCTCTCACTGGCTCCACATGGACTGCTTGGTTGTATTTTTCCTTGAGGATGTATCCCAGCTCGCGGAACTTGGGAAGTGTTGTCCAGCACGTTTTCGTCGTGCAGGACCCAGAAACTCCGTGACACTTGCATTCCAATCGCATGTTTTTTTCAAGGATCTAAAAAAAAAAAGCAAAGAAAGAAAATGAATGGGGTGTTTCTGTTAAGGAACAGGTTTAAAATGAGAAAAAAAGAACAGAATCCTATTCGTTGAATGAGGGTATTAGTAAGAAGTATGTGAGAGCTACTGTATTGGTTTTCAAATTTAACAAGCATTGACAAGTTAACTGTTTACTTGGTTATTTACTACAGAACAGTTGTTAAAGTACCTATTTTTAGTTTTAATTAGTTACAAACACCCAGCTAAATAGCTGACTTTTAGTGTCTAAAAATATTTTTAGATATTTCAAAATTAAGTAGCATTTTTTTCAGCATTTTCCCCTGGTACTCTTCCTGTGATGATGTGACCCTAACCCTCAACAACCCTATTTGCAGGACACACCCCAACCACAACCCTCCTATGCTATGACCTGCTGTGTGACAAATATCACAGATTATTATGAATACTTATATAACTGTAATGTTTTCTTGGAACAATAGCCGTAAACAATTATGAACGCTGTCATGGCAACATACATTGTCTCTATGAATGTGTGATGCTGATGACTGAAAGCCTCATCTAAAGGAAGCATGACTGAAAATTCCAATGCAAAATCTGAGAGTGACTAGCTTCAGTAGCACCCAGTTATGAATTGGCTTCATTACTCTGTTCTCTTCCCCACTGAGAGCTGGTGTGTGGTTAGCGTCCTGGCACACTATAGTTGACGTCGCATCATCCAGGTGGGGCTGTACATTGATGGTTGTGGAGGAGAGTCCCCATTACCTGTAAAGCGCTTTGAGTGTCCAGAAAAGCTCTATATAAGTGTAAGCAATTATTATTATTATTATTATTATTATTATTATTATGTACTTTTTATTACTTTAACAACTTTCTCTGACCAACACCCTCTCTCTTGCCGCTCCTTAAGTGAAAAAGTTAGGTGCTTTTAAGGAGTGGATGTTATAAATCCAAGCATTTTAAAGGGTTAGAAATGTAAAGTACAGGGGCTGTCATGTTGTGATCCACAAACACACATGGGATTCACATGGTTGTTTTGGGTTTCAGGTCTGGCTGGAGAGTCAAAGACAGAGTCAGCAGTGACCTAAGAGTGGTCATGGGTTAGAAATCAAAGTCAGTTGGGGTTAACTTCCCTTAGACACCAAGCATCATCTCTGTATACTCCTTCAGCAGAGATCACTGGCTGCTGAGCTCTAAAGTCACTAGTAGGGATGGTGTCTGAATTATTAACAAATGAGGAGAGGGTGTAGACATCAATACTTTGTTCTGCTTCCTCACATGTAGTTAATAACTAAAATATCAGGCATTCCAGACTGACAGGATGAATAGAGAAAGAGGAGTATGATCAATCTTTAATTAATAAGAAACTATTATAGATTTAAAAAAGACATTTCAATTAGAGAAATCTAGCCCTAACATAACAGAGGGTTGAAAAGTCACATATGTGTTTAGACAGAGTCGACAATTCAAAGGGAGAAAGATGAAAATCTAACTAAAAATTTCTCACAGAAGTCTTTAATGTTATATTCAATATTATACTCCCAACAAGATAGTCTATACTGTATGATTCTCAGTTGATATTGTTAGGTTATAATTTAAGATGTCATAATAACTATACTGTACCAGTACCAGCAAAATATCAGAGTACGATATAAATGAATTAGTGCCGCACAAACCAGAAAGAGTTTTTCTTTAGCTGGTTGGGTGAAAATAAACCCTTCATTTGCTCTGTTCTGTGTTCTGTATAGTGAAATACAAGACCCTGAAAAAATGTAATTAAAATGGGAATAAAGAGACACAAACAGAGCAGAAGAAAGATAAGAGGGGTCTTGCTCAGACAGTAGAGAAAGGGGGCTTCTGCTTTGGCTAAAGCAGAGCAGCAGGGATCACCAAACCAAAATTAATTTCTGGAATTAAGCCCTGTAACCCATTTAGAAAATCGTTTCCATTTATTTCGAACAGACACATGATAAGACTTGAGTCAATAAGTATACTGCAAATGAGAGAAAATGCTAAAAATCTGGGGGACCAAAAAAGAGTCAGTCTTTGAACAGGACCAGAACATGTGCAAGAGCATGCAAGAGCATGATGTCATCTCTCGCTGGCTGGATTTACACCTGGATATATCCTAGCGATCTGGCTTTGTTAATTGTTTCCTTAGTGTGTCTCCAGTTTGCCTTGTGCACCTTCTGATAATTGGCATGGTTCTTTCAGTTAATGGAATCATTGCTTAAGTTAAATAAGTGTTCTGAGGAGATGCAACAGCAGGCAGTCATACAGAAAAAAACAAGACAGACTGCCAGAAAGAGCTGACAGTGCAGATATACACTAATTCCTTCATACTGTATTGACAATAAGGGAGAAATAAAGTAACTGTAGCAGGAGTCTTCAGTTTAAAAAAAAATATTACTTTAAATGATTACCAAAAGTGTTTAGATTTGAAAGAGGCCACTCTGTCAAAGCACTGTACCACACAGCGCAGAGTATTACAAAATGGAATATTTGAAAACAAGTAATTAACTGATAAAAGATCTGTAGTCAGCACCAGGATATATTATCAACAGTTTCCTCTATGAACACTCAAGTGTCTGGAAATGTCTTCTGTAACCGGTGATAAGTATTAAGAAACAAACGGTCTCTACCCAACTTCCCAGTCCTCCCACTCTCCTGTACTGTACACAAACCCTCTCATTCAGAATTCCATTTTTTGGGGGTCTGGATCATGAACAGACCATTAAAAAGATGTTTAGCGCTAAGTGAAAGAGAAATAGCCAGGAAAGGCATCAATTTATGGGGAAATAATAAATCTTATGCGTAGGTTTTAGGATAGCTTCATCAGATAGCTGTGTTCAATTAAACTTTTTTACACCAGGGAGACACATAGGTTAGTAAAAGCACATTGTGCAGATTCCTTGGCCTGTGGAATATGTGTCTACAAGCTAAGTATTCCAGCTTATTTTTGAAATAGTTTTACAGGTTGAGACAAAGGTTTTTAAACATTCCAAGTGAAGAATGCAAAAGTTCTTAAACTCAATGTGCCAGGTTATGGTTTGCTTGCTTCGCGCTTTAAACCACAAAGGAAAGAGAGGGTTGTAAATGAAAACAGAAACACAAAGATTACGCACACATAAATATTAAGCACATGCAAACTTTCTGTCACCCTGTAGCCACCTCCTGGCCACTTTTTTTGAGTTTGTTTCTACCATGATGAACAATGTAATGCAGATCTCCAGCCATGAGGTAGTGCAAGCATCAATCAAGGGTGTAAAAAATAAGGACAGACATTCTTTGCTATGCAAAGACTGGGAGCCTAGCAAAACAGACGTAATAGATCTGAAATAAACAGAGTGAGAAAGACATTCACAGAGTGCCTAAAAACAATAGCCCTGTGTACACTGTACACAGATAAAGAAAAGGCATCACGTTTCAGCTTTCCATGTGTAGTTTAGATTATCCACATCTTTCACCATGCAATAGAGCTTGTCTTCAGAGAGATATTACATAAGATATTAAACAGTCTTAACTCTTCCTTTTTCATCTTTGATGTCCTTGGTTTAAGTAGCTTGGCTTTGGAGTGAGCATTACATTTTAAGAACAAGGTTTCTGTGTTTTTCTTTCAAGGCTTAGTCTTTTGGGCAGAAAAAAGACAACAGCAGGTTGTGGACATGATGCCAAAGATGCTAATTAAGTAACTAAACACCATTAAAGCAGTCCTTTCTTTGTGCTGTAAAGGGTAATAATTGAAATTATGTTTAGAAAGGTCATAAAAGTATCAGCACTTGCAGTTCAAGGTATTTAACTGTTATATTATGATCACATATTCAGTGAAACTAAAAATTAATTTTGGGAACGCCACCTTGATTGTATACTGTGCAAAACAAAGGTCAGAAAAGTGGTTATGTTTGACTTAAGAAGTCCATTGCAAGAACTTTGACTTTCGTCCATTTGTAAATAAAATGAAAGAACTGTTAATTGCTACGGTTAAATGTTTGCTTGACATTTTGAGACTTGAGTAGCAATTCACATGCCTTGTGCGGTAGGCACAAAATCAGCATTAATGTTTACTGACATGCTGTCTACCCCAGCTAAATTTAAACATCTCTTCCAAATGCTAGATCACAGAACTAGACTAGATTCCAAATACTAGCCATTTCCTGTTTTGAAAGTAAAATAACAAAAATGTTTTATCAGCAACGATAAAATCCACCAAGGTGTTTCACACTGAAAACTTCACTAAGAGCTACTTCAAAACCAGCTGGAGACTGAGCACAAGAAATTGGCACAGCAGTCCATTATTGTATTGCTTGACACTGTGAAGTATAGATTCACTAGGTTGCATTCAGTAACTGCTACTAAAGAATTGTAAATACAAAAGACTCTATCCTACTTGATTTAAACATATATGCAGTGTCTTTGGGGTGAAATGTTGTATATTTTTACTTAAGCACTGTTACCTTTTAGCTTTTTTTCAAATATCTTTTACACATTAGTTGCACATTTCTACATTGTTTTTTGTTCATTTTATAATTCACAAAAGAAAACCTATTCAGGGCATTTAGAACTGGCCCCCACAATCACTATCAATCACAATCACTATCACAATCAGATCAGCTATACTGTGACTAAAAACTACTGACAGCCTTTGTCTTCCTGTATTAGATCTGGGTGAATAAAATGAACTCCAGCACACTGCCATTAATTTGATTAGCATAAATAAGAACTATTCAATAAAGAGGCCCCTTTCTGCAAGAACGAAATACAGAAAGGATGAGCCGCTGAATAGTTTGTACATTGAGAAGCAATTTACCTGTCTAGATAAAGGAGCATGCATTTAGTTGCACATAATGACCAGCACAAAATTCTTACTAAAAGTCTAAGTGGATTTTTTCTATGATAGGTGATACTACAGTAGATGTCTGAAGCAGCCCTCTGTGGATCACAGTGATAATGCCACCAGCTTAGATGTTTCTTTTCAATTCACTGGGTAGGAATCCTATAGTATCAGAGAAGCCTCACCCACTTTTTAATTATTCTCTTTTTTTCCCCGTTGTTGTCGTTTGAGTACCTAGACTTTCTGGAGACTAAAAGCAATTTTCAGCGGCTTGAAATGCATTGCAGAGCTTAATCTTGGTTGGGGTCCCATTCGCAGAAAAGCTTTTTTTCCCCTCTGTTATTGAAGTAATACCCCCATCAGAGGCATAGACTGTGTCACAGACCCCGCATACTAAGGGGAATACAGGTATAATCCAGGCAAGGTAGTACCTTTCACCTCTTCTGTGTCTTCTTGTGAAATTGCTACAGCATTCCTGTAGCATTAATACATATTTATTCAGGACATTGAATTAGATACAGCAAAGACCATGCACAAAGTGTCATTGATCTGTGAATGCAACAAAAGTAGCACCTAATATACTTATTAACAACTTTGCACAATTTTCCAAGTTGTAAAAAGAACCTCACCTTCAGTCATTCAGTCCAAGTATGTTACTATTTCACTAACTTCATATTCCATGCTTAAAACAGTTCTTTTTGCATATATATATACAAGTTTAAAAAAATCCTTGGTACAAAATCAAAGACAGATCAGTTTTCAAGACACACTGCCACACTGGAAACCACCATTAATGTATCACCAAACAAAAAAGCACAATTTCTACCCAGTTAAGGGAAGTACAATGATTTTGTTTCCAGTCAAAGTAACAGGTTTGAAAGTATAACCTAGAATTGGCTGTTTCAGATCATTCTAAGCAGACACAAAAAAGGGAAAGAGTTAATTTTATTTACTCTGCTGTCTGCCTTCTCCATCTTATTTACACTTCCAAGCCTCACTTATCACGATTTGAGATTTTACTTGGCTCTATAAAAGACTTTGCTGTACCCTTTTACATTTTAATCCTCACCAGCATCGGCCAGGTAAATCTACCGGAGTCTCTGGGCTTTAACAGTCATGAATCTCTGAATGCTGCCAAAATCTACATACCAGCAGATAAAGGTCTGGCAGTTTACTATAAGTGGGAGAACTGAGAACCATCAACACCTCAAAGACAAATTTTCAAGGGTTTTATGTCACTGACTCACTTCACTCAACAATGGACTTTTTAAATGAGTCTTAGACATATAATTATTATAAGTATGGCTTTGTGCAAATTGACTAGTTTTTAAGATATAGACCTAATGATGCTTTTACCAATGCTAATGTACATGCAAGGATAATTGAGTCTTTTTGCTTTGCTGCAAAACTGTCTTTCTGTAAGCCTTATAGTTCCATGTTTTTCAAGTTGTATTTAATAATATAAACATATTACAAGGTCACACCACTGCATGGTGCACAGTACACTCCAGCATCATCAGTACTTTCCTCACAGAGGTTCAAGGTCATCGGGGCTTTTAATTATAGCACCAAAACCATAACCAGTCATGGGCTTCTTCACAGCCCTGAACTCTGGCAATCCATAAAGCTGCTACTTCTACAGCAGCTCTTCCTGAAAGCTTCCTTTCATTTCATAAAAGAAAACCTGTTTAATCTCTAACTGACTGTTATACCCTTAAACTTAATAAGAGGCCCAGATCCTTGGCAAATTTTATCAGCTGGAAAGCATGCTAAAGAACAGGGATTATAAATCACAATGCCAAGGTTACTTAGCTAATTCCTGCATTTATTAACCCCCTCCATCGATGGACATACTGTTTTCTGATATTAAGCAGTTGTCTAGCTAGATGCGTCCTGCTTCTGTTCTTTTGCTTCACAAGCTATATAGTGGTATATGGTATAGGCATACACAGTGATTACAAATGTGAAGTTTCACTGCATGAGATGTAAAGTGCCCTCTTATGCTGCACTTTGGCAAGATCCTTTTTGAGAAGATTTTATAGTTGCACGTGTGACTGGCAATACCACTGAAACACAGATCGCTACGCTTTCTGTCCCGTTGGATGTGCTGAATATTTACCTTGCGTCCCGCTTCGTTGTTATGCAGGTTCATGAGTGTTCTGGCGTTCTGTTTAATCTCCCTGGCGTCCACAAACACCTTGGAGAACCCCAGGCCGTAGCGGATGTCGGCAGAGCAACCACCCCACTTCCAGCCCTCCTCCTGGTTGTAGAAGCCCTGCTTCTCTTTGTCACAGCCGCAGTCGCTCAGGTTGCCCTGGGTGCAGGCCGCGGTGATGGCGTGGGCGATGCCAGCGGCGATGATGGCGTAGGTGAAGGCGGCCTCTTTACTGCCTGAAAAAAAAAAAAGAAGAAAATAAAAAATTGCTTAGTAGCTGACAGCAGGTTCCAATGTTTCATACATTGTCTACCCTCCTAACATACCTGACATAGCTTTCCTTTAAACAGCAAGCAGAAATAATAAAATGCAATCCCTGTGCCAAGTTTTCCACATCTATCACACATGCTCAGCATGGATAAATGGCAACTCACATTCGTTTTCAGGGGAGTAATATGCAACACAAGCTCCATAATGAAGACGTGCTGGAGGTTTTGTGGATAATGGCCTATAACGTTAAATGGGCTTCTCGTATGCAATTAATAAAGAATTAATGTGATTAAGTCTAATTTTTTTTCTTTTAATTCAGGGAGGCCAGACAGGGTAAGGCTCTCAACTGTGATTATAAATAAAGCATACATAAATGAGCCCTGGCTATAAAACACTGACAAATCAGAGCATTCCATCTATTGTGCTCGAATCATATTTCATAAGAAAGCAGCAAGTAGGTGAATCACTTTAAAGACAGGCTACTACAAAAGGAAGGAAAAGTCATCCTATTGAATGAGCACAATAAGGATAAGTTTACTCAAGAGACAATAGAATGGAAAAGACAGGGTTATGTGTTTAGTTTAAGTTTGGCCTGCATCCCAGGTTCCGTCCCATAAGAACACCACCCTTCAGAGGTGAGAAACACGCAGGAGCTGAAACTCCAAGGTGCAGTGACCACTTGCCACCAGTCTTTCGACCCGCCCACTGGGAAGAGCAGGGACAGAGATTGTATCAACAGATATGATGAAAAGAGGGAATTGCTTTAAATTTAAATCAGGTTAATACTCAGATAGATGCATTGAAAGATGCTGTGTCAAGGATCATAAGAGTCGTATTGTTACCTGTCCTGTTTTTGTAAAAAATGAACAGAGATTCAGAAGTTTTAGGTATATTTTTGGTCGACTGGTTTTTTTTTTCCCTTTGGGGCAGGGCTATCAGTTAAAAGTCTGATGACCCACATTTTCCAGCTTAAGCCTGGATTACAACAGACTCTTTTTTATCAGTATAGAGTTGTCACAGCCCACCCTCAACCCTGACCCTCCTGGTGTCATACCTAACTGATCTGGAGAATTTAGGAATTTCTTCCTGACTGTGGAACTGGTGTAACTTACAACAAATCTGTCCCAGAATGAGCAAGCCTGAAAGTATACTTACTGAGTAAGTTGAAAAGCATCAGGTTTCATATAACCCACGGTGATTTGTCAAACAAAGGTGGAACCTTGACACTGATCCCTAATTAAGCATTAGGTCTCTTCCTTGTGATTTTTTTTAGCTCATCACTCAAACCTGTGGTATCTTTCAGTTAACTAATTTTCAGTTAGTTCACACAACAATCAATTGCCCTAATAAATGTTTAAAATGCTTCAGATAGTATTTTGAGATAAAACATAAAAATAAAAAATATATAAAAGCCCTAGTTTAAGGAGAATTCATTCCATCTTGCTCATTGGTAGGCATAAGGGGATCATGCTCAATGCATCATCCTTGAACTGGAGTTTTGTTGTACTCAGACACTGGAGTGTTAATGCTATTTGCATTTGCAATTTGCTTTCAATGTGTAATTGTGACACCATGTATATGAAGAAAAAACACATTTATTCTTAAACTTGAATTTAATTGATAGTAACTCTCATTATTATAACATTGCATAAATGCAGTATTGAGATTTTTTTCTTGCATCTGTGAAGTTGCTTCGATTCAAATGAAAGTAACTTCTTTCGTATATCAGATTTACCTTATCTTTCTGTGTTATAAAACAAAAAATATCTGACAGAGTGTTACGAGAGATAAGGGTGTTTCAAGCACCACACTGCAAACTCGGCATTCTGTATGTGTATTCCTTCCAGTGTGGATATGTTTTACACCTTAAAATTATTACTGAGTTTGGGACAGCCAACCAAAACATTTTTTTCCCAGCTGATGTATTTGGATGGCTTACACCCAGGAGTCAACCACTCCAGGAGTCAAGGATAAGACTGCACTTAGCCTGAAAACACTTATTGATCTTTTTGGTCTCTCCAGTGCTGTGTGCACCCTTCAGGAAGGAACTCCTCAGGATTCTGCATTTTTTGTTCACTTATTTGCACTGCCAATTAATCATTAATATACAGAGATAAGTTTGACAAATTCTCTGATATATTAAACACACAATTCAGCAGCAGTGATTTCCAGGTACTGTTAGTATCTTCATTGAAACCATTTTTATCTGGGCATTTCACTGAATTCCCATTGCTTTTTTCATAAAAACACTATAGATGGTGCTCTATGTTATTATATGTACTTAATGCATTTTCTTTCATATGTAGGTCTACAAATGACAGCAGTAAAGTAATAGACAGGAAACCAGGAGGCAAAAGGCTTAAGGAAAAGGACTTAGAACGCAAAGACTCCAAATTCAAGCCCTGTCTATGCCATTTAGTCACAGTACTGTACCTTAAGACAAGAGCTTATCCTGCATATGAGATAAAAACTGAGATCCTGTTGTAAGTGCAGTTGTTAATACATAGTTCACCCCTTAAAAGTTTTAGATAGACCTATCTCCTAAATGAATAATTATTTTTTTAATTAGTTGTGTTACAATAGGTGAGCTTTTAAAACACAATAAATTGTAGGAACCCAGATACAGTATATCTGTACATGCGTATTATACTCCTATATTCCCTTGCATCTTTTGCTGCAAAGCTTATTTTTGTCTCACGGTTTCATTAAATAATCTTTTGTGTGTAACTCTTAAAGGTCTACAGCTAGAACTGTAACATTAAAAATCACTTTGCATGCTATTGGTTCACAGCTTGGGGCACTTGGAATGGTCTTTGCACCACAGTCTATAGCATTCTGTTTGGGCACTTCACTGTAAACACTGCTGTTTAAAAACTCCTGTGAATATGATGATCAGCCACACACCAGGAGGGAACTACCTACTGTATCCCTTGCTAGCTGAAAGTTCATAAAGAATGGCACCTGTTAGCAAGCTCTCCGCCACAAGCCAGGTGAGTGACTGGGAGGATGCCAAGTTGTGCCAGAACAAGACAATGAAAGCATCAATATACAACTGACAACTGACATTTTGTTGTTTTTAAAACTGTCCGAAAAGTTTTAAAAAAGTCATACTTAGGGTAAAAGATTCCCCTGGAGGATTATATGTGCTGTATAAGATGTGTTCAGGTTATCAAGTTATTTTTATTTTTAGACTAAAATCTTTATTCTTTTCTTCTAACTTTAAGCAATGTTTTTCCCACTGAGCTAAATGGAGATTTAAATATTCAAATACTGTAATATGTACTGTATATATATATATGAATGGTTAAAAAACAAAAAAAGATTAACTGTTTTGAATCACTTATGACAAAACCTAATTATTCCAGTTTTTTGTGATGTAAACATAGAAGTTTTCGCTTATCCTTCTTGCAACATTTTTAAAAGATTACTTTTTCATATACCATAAGGTACATACTTAGAAATGTGATATTTCTAACTACAACTTCACTACTCATAAACTGTTCAAAAACAAAAATGATAACCTTGTCACTGCTCCACTTCCCCTGAAGCCAAAGTATGTGCTAACCTGTTTTTGATAAACATCTTGGACTGGTGCCCTTTCAATTTAAAAAAAATGCCATTTTTAAGCATCAATTATGCAGTTTTTTTATGGATTGAATGGGAAGAAGGCCAAAAAACAAGGTGTGCCTATAGACGTGATCTCTGGTTGCTTTAAAATGGTGAAAAATGCAGAACCTCATTATTAGGAAAACTTGCATATTTCTAGTTCCATTGAATGCAAACGGTATCCTCATTTAAACCATGATCCACTGAAAACATAAACTACTGATAAAAAATGCTATAAACCTTCTGTGTTATGATAAGTGTCTCGACACTTTCTGGAATATCAAAATCTGGAGCTTAAAAGAATTAGGCTGCTTAGAAACTCCTCTTGCCAGCTCTGCAATGCAAAAGGTTAATTTATAAACCAAAGACAGTGTGCTTGTTGGGACCTGAGGCTTTTCTGCTGAAAGGAAAAAAAGGTTTTTTGAACACACAGGGTGGCAGAAATTAAATCAAAAAGGTTACTCCCTTCATAAAACCAGGCACAGTATAGAAGCCCAATAAACTGAATTACAAGGGTTCCCTTACATGGCAGACATGCTTTTCAGAAATTAACCCATCAGCATTTTTATAAGCTTTTTTTAATTGTTGGACCAATTGGTGTTTCCCTAACCCAGGGATATATTCCACCAGCAGTGGAGTAGCTCTCTGTAAGTGCTTGTGTGCCTTCAAGCTCCAACAACATCTCCAGCATGAGCTATAGACAAACCACAGTAAAGAATCATTGATTCCAAGCTTTCCATTCATGGTCACAAATCATGCCCAGGGAGAGCTAGATGAACCAGTTCTCTTTAGCTTCGCTGTGTATAGTAAAAGAAAATGACATAACCAATAGGACCACTGGTCTTCTATGCTGGTGTTTATGTAAAGACTCCAGCATAGAACTTCAGAAGACTTCACCAGTGTCAAGAGACTCCCCAGTCACAGCCTAGACAGTGGCACACCACCCACTCCCTCCTTTTGTCATCATCTGCTAAACAGGAGAAAGCTGCTCTGAAAGATGTCAGCATGACCTGCATCTGTAGTGAAGCTGACACAAATGTCATTAAATGAATGGTAATACGAAACAGCAATCTCTGTGTTTCTCCATGCCCCGTGACAAGAATGACAAGGTAATTGAAGGGTTTTCTCATTTTCATGCACAAAACACCATGGGCTGCAAATTGTAATAAATGTTTTAATATGACACACTAATAAGCCAAATATGTATAACATTTGTACTCAATTAAGTAATTCATTGCAAGGTATTGTCCTGCTAAACCATCCAAAAAATCCATCTGAATGAGGGTGTGCTTAACATTCTGGATTGAGAAATCTCAATTTTTCCCCCCAAATCACCACAATCACCCCATTTTTTGCCCCAATTACTAAGAATCACAACAAGAGTTCTAACTGAATTTGATGTCTCGAAGAGTGCTGTATCACCTTAAGAATCCGCTTCTCTTTATTTACAGAACTCTAGGATGCTTTTACCTACACTAAATTTAACTGTAATATAAAAACTAAACATTTCATTGCTGTTGCATTGTGCCGGGTCTCACTGTTCATCCTTTTCAGTAATTTTGGCTCTCTAATATTTCAAAAGAATCAGAAGATACATATTCAAACTTGATCTACTATTTCTTTCTCACATAATAGGGTTGTGTGGGCAATTAAGTTCCCTCTAGCCATCTTTTGAAGGTCAATAGCCACTAGTCCTGCAGTATTTTCTCACCACCAAGTGTCCATTGACTTTGAAAACATCATCCAAGAAATGTCATCTAAACAGCAATTCATCAGTGTCTGTGATTCAACACCACTGCTGAACCTCAAAAGAAACTCAAATATGCCTCAGGAAAAAGGATAGCATTACGGTAAAAAAATCAATGTTTTGTGTGTTTCTTTCTTTAGAATTTGCTTCATACTTTTAAAAAAAACACATCATATAACATCTATTCATGATAAATCCAAAAGACTAGTGCTAGCCCAGTAGATCGTGTATTACTTAGTTGAGATATCAATTCTGAAATCCCTAGAAAGATTAAAGATGTTCAGGAAGGAGAACATTAAAAACTTGTTTTTACAAAAATCACAACACAAGTAGAAGCAGACAGATGATTTTGTGCTTCTAAAGTGTTTAGGTGTTTAAAGGGATTGTGATAAGATAACACTTTCCCTCAGTAAATGTAGGCCACTGAAGAAGTGTGTGTTGCAATTTCCTAGTGTCTTTCTTCAATTAATTAAGCAGAAGGCAAAATCCATCTTTGACACCAGAGGCCATTTTATATTGTGAAAAGAGCAAGAAAATCTTCTAGCAGTTTTGTACTAATTTATAATTTATAATTGAAATATAGAAAAGGCTTTTGAAAATCTAAGTATTAAATTGTAGTCCTTGTTTAAGAAGTCTTAAGAATAAGACTGGGCACAGTTTAGTTACCTGTTCACTGTTCAAATATAGCAGAAATTCTCTCTTGTTTTCTCTTAGATTTCAAAATACAAAATCAATTACACGAATGAATCCTCATTTTGGTAACAATGTATATTTAAGATATGTTGTGTAATTGATTAAAATACAGAAATTTGAAGTACAACAGCAATAACTCATTGATTTTTTTAACTATTGTAATTATTGTTTTTTCACTTGTTCATTTTGCACATTGAGAACATGCTTTTTCTAAAAAAAAGTGATTTTTTTAATTAATGAGTTTAATAGCTTGCACCTTTGTTAAATGAAGTGACAATATAACAATTAAATTAGAAAACATTGTGGTACCAAAATCACAAAAATGAAAATAACATTATTTGTGGTATATTTAAAAGCAGTTTGTTAATGGTTTCCAGATTAAGTCTGTTTTAACCATGTTGTTAGAGTAGATCTTGAAATCATCAGTACATGTTATGCTTCACACATTTTAAGCATAGGTGACTGACTCAAAGTGAGGTCATGACTTTAGTACTTGATCATCTGATTTACATCGTCTGATGGAGAAAGGAGGAAATTGATAAAGAATTTTCTCGTTTTGTTGGTCTTATTAGTATTCTTTCATCACATTGATACAATACGTGCACTGTTGCTTTGGCTACCTTATCCATCCCTTAAATCGAAGAAAAATATGTATTATTAAGATGGGACAAAATATTTTGTACATATAATAATTAAAGGTCTACTACCACTTAGAGAGAATCATACTTTAGATAGAATATTTTGACTTCAAATGTCTCTTCATTTGCACAATAAAGTTGTTATAGTCCCCACAAAAACGGTGTAAGGTCATTTGGGCTGTGTGTGCATTAAAAAGGAGGGCTGAAATCCGTGCAGAAACTTGACAAAACGATCATGCAGATTGGAAACTAAACATCTACGTGTTCTCGGAAAGTATACATTTATGATCACTTGCCTAACGTGTGTGGTTTTTTTTTTTAAGGAATGGTGTCATGACTCACGAGTGTCAGGTTTGGAGGAATAGATTTGTAACATACCCACTTTCAACTCTTTGCCAAAGACAGTTCGCTCTCCTAGCGCCGAGCAGTTCCAGCGGCCGTTTTTGAACTGGAATTGACATTCGTTGATGCCCATTTGTGCTCCTTCTCCGATCACTATGATGGCGTCAGGTCTGCTCTGACAGATAGTCCTCTGTCTCGGTGCCAAACCTGGAATCTTGTTACAAATGATACTTGCTCCCAAAGCCACCACTGAAGAGAAACCCCTAGGAAGGACAAAGGAAAAAATGAAAACCTAGTACGAACTTCACGATGTACCTGTGAACCTGTGCCATTTCTGGCAGCAGGCTAGTGCAAATGGTCTGACGGTGATTTTTTTTTGAAACACTGAAAAATAAGTTGGCTCACTCAGTAATTGGTCATTCAGCATATTTGTGCCGAGTACTTAGCTCACACACGTATTTTTTTTAAAGTGGCTTTTTTTCAGCTTCAGGGATTCATTCTTTTTGTTTGAATGTGTCCCCCTTTCAACCACCAATGTTAACATTGCAGTATCATCTCGGCAAACGAGATCCGATGCAACAGCACGGCGCGGCGAAGGTTTGATTGCGTATTGCGGATCTGCTCCACTGTGGCGTTATAGAAAAATGACGTTTCAAGGACTAGACCGTTGAGACTTAATGCCGAGACATGAAAACACCAGCCTTCCCCTATCACTTTCTCTAGAATTAAAACACAGATAAAGAAATCTGAGATCTTTGCCCAAACGTGACAGCACTTCCTGAAGAAGGTATGTTGTAAAACTACCTTTGCACAGCCTGTAATGGTGATACACGCACCTATCCCCAGATTTCTTACAAAAACTTTAAGATTTGCAAAGAAAAGGGTAAAATGCAAAACACTTTAATATCTGCTAAGAAAATAGTAAAAATACAAGAAGCAACTAATTGATGGCTTCGAGAATTTGTCATGTCTTTTATTCTATTAATCTGGAATGATCATCTAAGAAATGGTCATTTAAAATCACGTTTCTGTGTCAATAATGAAATACTTGCTAATTCTGTCAGCAATGCTACGCATTGTTACAATTCACTAATTACAATATGAATTCTTATAACTATTCGCTGCAAATGTTGAATTCATTCATCCCAAGCGCTTATTTTGCTTTTTGTTTATAACGAAACGTTTGCAGTTATTCAATAATAGGTCATGTGAACTAAATTAAACTTTAGAGGAGAGACGTAAGTAAAAAAATTAATAGTTGTTCTATAGCTGTCCATAAATTGATCCATTTTTATCAAAAAAATACGTTCCCATGAAGTCACATAGTGCATTTTATATATCCCCTGTATCACAAAAATGAAAAGTAATCAACTTTTACTTAAGACATTTTCCGTTTTTTTGTCTTTTATGTGAATACTTTAAACTCTTCAAATACAATAATTTACCAGTTATAATATTCCCAACCACCATAACCTTTCTGTTTTTCCCAGCAGAACCTTCCTCTCGCACAACCTTGCGCACTTCAGCATTATCAGGTCCCAACACGCTGAGATGAAGGAAAGATACTTACCCTATTTTGAGATACACAATCCCAAGACAAAGAAAAATATGGAAAATCCAGCGTCGCGTTTTCCTGTTCATCGTGTTTCCCCCTTTCTCTTTGGTAGGTTTGCAAAAATAAAATAACCTTTACTAGTGGGGGGGGTTCTTGGTGGTGTTGCCCCCAGACGGACCAACTCCAGGACAAGTTTGCAGACAAAACGCAAGACCTCAGTGATAATTGTAAATTCCAGTGTAAAATCACTGCAGATGAATCCCGTAACTTCTCCGTGCGTCTCCCTTTCGACGTTTATTTGGTGTTAGGATGCATGTCACAGGTAGTTTCAGAGATGTAAGTGTTTTAGCATAGCCGGAGCAATCTCAAACACACAGTTCCTGCTCGTCAGTCAGGTTCTATATATCTACCTCATCTATCAGGGCGTGTTCTGAAGAGAAATAGAGCCCTTCTCTGGAGTGCCATAAATAATCCCAGATTGTGCATTCATCTGTTTATTAACGAGAGGTTACAGAGCGCAGGCATCTTCAAATTCTGTTACTAGGATAGTTGATCACAACTGCCTAAAAATATTCATCAGTTAAAAAATACTACAATTTATAACCAATACAGCGTTTTTAACAGAATTAAGTCTGGGCGTAAAGATTCAACCCAAATGTGTTTATGCTCATTTTCTCCTCATTGAAAAGGGTTAGCCCGGACTAAAACTACTCACTGACCCAGTTGGATATTGAACAAAACGAACGAAGAACATCATAGTCTGTTTCTTTGAAATCTGTCTCTTTGCTTTTGGGGGGAACGTTCACTGCGGTGTGTCATTTTTGTATGAATTTTTCTGTGTTGTGACTTTCTACCTGTGACTCGCGTGAAAGAAAAAGGAGACAAATTCAGAATCTTTGCTGGGCAAAGGAGACGTTCCTCCTTAAAACAGACACTGGCGTGAAGCACGCACTGTTCTTGTATCTCTGTGCGATATACAGCCGGTTTGATCTAATTTCCCCCTACTCAGTCGCTCCTCCTTTCTTGTGCACGACCACTTGTTTCACTTTTTAATTCAATTTCACATCTTTTACTCCACTGGTGCTGGAGCTCGGATCCAGGAATTATCACACCAATAATTATTTGACCAGCTAAATGCCACCATCTTAATAGCCCGGCGAAGAGCACTTGACCAAACTCTGCCTTTTTTTTTCTTCTGCATTCTTTGACAATCAGATCTTATCTGATTTATTAAGGAGGCTAGACCATTTGAAGACCACACAAAAGGCTATTGTCCTCTGAACATCTTCACTGCACAAATATTATTTCCTTTTAAAAACGCTTAATAAGTATGAAACGAAAGGACCGCATGCTCCAACATCTCACTGTTGGAAACACACAGTATATATCAATTCAGATGATAAAGTTTTAGTTGCAAATTCACTTGCATCGACCCAGTCCCACTGATAAAATATTAAATCAATAAAATGAAACGTGAACCTTTTTGTTGCACATTTTTTCAGACTTTCGTGCATATTTTGAATTTCTGTCCTACATTTGTCACATCTAAACAATTATATATAGTATATATTAAAAACTTTAAACACATTGGATTCAAAATGTCATCACGCTAGAGGTCAGGATCCTATAAACAAACTTCTAATTAGCATCTACTGTAACTCTAATTGGTTTCCATAGCCTGGCATAGTTTTTTTTTACTTTACAATTCCAAATTCCAAAGGTGGAATTACTTCTTTTAAAACCGTTATACTTTCTAGTGTTGTGAAACTGATAAAATTAATAATAAGATTATTAATAATAAGATCATTCGATGTTTTAATAAGTATAGAGTTTTAAGTAGTCATAGATGGATCCGGTCTTACGGGCTGTAACGAGAATCATGACCTGGAACTCACCTGGAATTAAGAGAAGCGTCAAAACTTCGATTAGACTATTTGTACATTAGAGGCGCCTTTATACCCTACATATACAGTAGGCTACATTGTCTTGGAAAAGAAAAAATAATTTTTAAAAATAACAAAATGAGAAGGATGATACTTCACGTTGCAGTACATTCTGTTTGACGTTACCAGTTGTTAAAGCGTTTAAGTTGTTCAGAACTTAGAAAACCGAGTTTATGCCAAGTACGGGCTCCAAACTGTGGTTAAATAATTAAAAACAATTACAACGTGCTTAAAAATTAAAAAAAATAATCATGTGTACTACTCCGGTGTTTACCATTTTCTGTTATTACTGGGGATTTTTTGTTTGCTTTTCTCATAAATTAAATTGAATGGGATTATTGCCCACTGTTGGAAAAGGGATTGACCGCTGGCAGTCATATCGTGTCAAAATTTTTGTATTTGTTCAAGTCATGAAATGTATGTACATCCATAATTAATATTTACGGCTCTTAATGTCCAAACAATAACGTGAGGATTGTTCTTGAAACACTTTGTGTTCCAAAAGGTTTCCAGACCTGTTCTGGAAGTTTGTGAAAGTTATTTGAGGTGCTGTGGCCAGTTTTAACATTTCCAACAGAAACGGGTTTGCCTTTTATGTTCACGTCTTTTATAATCCCGCCACCTGCTGGACGATATAGAACAGTTAATTTAAGAACTTGTTTCAGCTCCTGTCCTCCTTACCGCGAAGTTCTCTTCTCGTGTTAAACGCACTGGTTACACTGTCAGTTTTGAAATTCTACAACAATCCTGAAAAAAAGTGGTTAGTGCAAGAATTACACTAAGGTGTAACCTTTAGGAAACTTGGGAGCTTGCAGCAGAGTTTTTTTTTTTTTGGAAAATGTAATGTCATTGTATTTACAGTTATTTTCAGCTTCAGGGAACGTTTTTAAAGCAATACTGGTGACACTGTATGTTTCTAAACAAAACGCTGGGCGTTTTTTTTTTCATCTCATGTGAATTTGTCTCGGTTGATCCATTACTTTTAAAACCCAAGAGTTGTTCTTTTTCCCCCAGTGGCGATGAAATGGACACGCCGAACAGTGGTTGAGTGCTGGTAGAGGTTTGCAGGATTACCTTGAAAAGGCAGTTATCACTGGCTAATCCGACCTGCCAAGGTCCTTCCTACGGATAATTAGTGTTGCAATGACTCATCTTCCAATCCAATCCCAGCCCTTCCTCACTCCAGCAGAACTGTTCCCTGCTATAGCTCCAGGTCAGACTCGTGCCGCACATGTCTTTTCCTCCTGGGAATCTTGACAAGAAATGGGAAGCCAAGGGTCACATTTCCCCTATTAGACCTCTGTCAAATGAAAGGTCAGCAATTATACTTCTTATAGGCTGCTCTTACATCTGTGGGGCTCCTGGACTGTGGAATAACTACTCTGAAGGTGGAGACAGTTCTCCTATCAGTGTTGTGGAAGAACAGGCTCGCAGTGCTGGTGTCACAAGAAGTAGAGAGTTATCGTCAGCACATCCTGGCTTTTGTATATCACCCCATTAGTTATCTGGCAGTGTAAATACATGTACGAGGCATTTCAAAGCACATTAAGAGATATGTTTGTTTATGTTCGGCTAAAATCAACTTTACTGGCTATAATGCTTGCGTTCGTTGAGTAGAAGTGCTACTGCTCCTTCATTTTCTTTTTAATGCGTTTATGTTTTCCATTCATCATAAAAACCGTTTTAAAAGGGCCTGCGGCCTCTCACAACAGGGAGTAAATGTAATCGCATTACAACAGGTGAAAGCGGCCCTATCTGTATGACATGTAGTCGCAGAAAAGCACATCTACAAACAGAGTTGCAATAAGTAGCAAATGCCTAAAAAGATATAAGCAAGGTTATTATCTCCAATGGAAAAATAACATAATTAGTTAGTATACTAGAGCGGAATAAAGGTTTCAAACAAGAGATGGTCACTGGGCCAATGTAGCCCATTTGATAGTTAGCAGTTACTTAATCCCAGGATATCATCCGGCTATTTCATGAAAGAAGCCCGAGTTTTAGCTTTAAGAATACGGCTGGCCGTCTTGTTCTGTACTCCTACAACCCTTTGGGTAATAAAGTGCCTCCTGTACTCAGGTTTAAATGCAGTTCCACATAGTTTCCACTTGTGTCGTCTGTTGCTTCTTTCCCTGTTTATTCTGAATGAGAGTACTGGGCTGTCTTTGTCAGTGCCTTTGAAAATTTTGAACACGTGGCCCTCTGTAGAGGAAACATGTCTCTTTGTTGCAACCTATCAGTGTAGGACATTCTCTTCAGCCCCAGAAAACATCTGGTTGCTCTTCTCTGGACAGATTCTGGATCTGAAATATCTTTTTCATTAAACAGTAAACGATAATGTATACAGTATTCTAAGTGAGATAGCACAAGTGCACTGTACGATTTTTACATAACACCCCTGAATTTAAACTCTCTGCCTTTAACTACAAATCTTAATTTTTGTTAACTTTTTTTTTCTCCTCCCCCCTTTGTTTAGAATATGTAAATGATGTATCTATATAAACACCTGTTTTTTTCATAATAGTCTCTTTAAGCTCAACATTTCCCATATTGTATTCATAGGTTATGCTTTTGCTACCTATATGTAGTACTTTGTACACAGACTACATTAAAAGTAATCAGCCGGGTGTTTACACAGTTTTGAATTTTAGTTAACCCTTATTGCATTACAGCTGGTGTGTGGTGAGCGTTCTGGCGCACTATGGCTGCCGTCGCATCATCCAGGTGGGGGTTGGCCTTTGTTGTTGTTGGGGGGGGTTCCCCATTACCTGTAAAGCGCTTTGAGTGGAGTGTCCAGAAAAGCGCTATATACAGTAAGTGTAAGCAATGAATTAATTAATAATTAATTTGCAGTTTCTAATGAACATCCAATCCTCCGTTTGTGGGATGGTCCGCAATCTTGACTAGTTTACTGACTATATTAAAATCTAGTTCATTCATTTAAATTAGGAAGAATGGTGGTCTTAATGCAGATCCCTGTGGTACTCCACTAATTACACCACACTCTGAGCATTTACCTCTTTTCTCATAACTTTTATTTTAATTGACCTTGCAATCGATTATACTTGTTTTCTTTAATTGAATTGCCTTTTTTTAATTGTTCTATGAAGGACTTTCTTCTCCATACATTGGTCCTGATCGACGTGTTGAACCGTGAGGGATCCTGTTGTTCGGTTCAGGATTTGCTCAGTCTTCTGATAAATCAGTTCTCTGCTTCACACAGTATCTGCTTATTCTGTCACCATCCAATCTCCTTGGATTCCATATCTTAAACTGTCTTTCATTCCTTCAAATTCTGATTTCCTGAAAATTGGTTTGATTTGAACTCATTCTGTACAGTTTCAAAGAGTACTTCAAAGCAGACCATTTTATGATCATAGTTCCCTAATTGTTCTCTCACCTCTCATTTCAAACCATGGGACAACAATGAACACATTTATTCTCCATTAATGAATATTGCTGGCTGACCTTAGGACAGCAGAAACAATGACGGAGTAGGTTACATGACAGTGATAACTATAACATTGGCAGTATTACTTTTAATTTAAAAAGCATGCACATTGCAAATTTATATTATGGTGACCTATTGCTTCATCATTACTGTTAAAGTATACTTTAAAAATCCCCTTACAACTTGGCACACTTCACCAGCAGAATGTGGGTTGCTTTGTAATCATTTTTCCAAAAGTGGCACGGAAAAGGGGTTTTCCTTGTTTGAACTGCTCATGATCTCTTGGCACGTTAGACATGCAGGTACTGGAAGGGAATTCATGACAGCTTTTGAGTAAACAAATCACTTAACTGGGAAAACTAAGAGGTCTTTGTTTTATTCCTCTTAATGATTTTGATCATTAAGAGCAATTAAAAGTCATCCGAAAAAAGTATTTCAAACAGGCATTTTGCTCTTTTTTTCAATGAGTCATGGTGGCTAACTGGAAAGTACATTTGAAAAGCATAAATTGTAACCACAATACAGGGTGTAATGTGATTAGTCACATTCTTCAACACTAAATAGTTTTCTAATAAAAGATAACCATTTAGCGACCCTAACCTGCATCTGTCATGAAGACCAGTGTGTATTAGATGTCATTTCCTCACACTTTATTTTTGGCACACACAAAACAGAATGTCAGGACACAGAGTTAAATGACTAGTATTTAAATCGAGGGATGTTCTGTTAAAATTGTACATCAGTAAAAACCCATTAGAACACATTAGGATTTATGTATTCTATTCAGCAGAACATTAGAATTAATAATTTGCTTTGGAAACAGTTCCAAGATAAGCAACCAGACACATTCCTGGGCTTAAAGAAGGCCTACAATGACAGGTTAAAAGGACCAAATCTTTTCAATCTTTTACAGAGGAAACTTTCAGGGGACCAGAAGCAGAGTTGTGCACTTCTTCAGAGCCAAGGGTGAAACACAAACCAGTGGACACAAGTGCATACTACAGAGTTCTCT